TTCCCCACCAGTTAATTATATTCCTCTTCCTCTGGCTTGCTTAAAGGCAGTCAGTTTATTCTAGGAGGGAAGCTTTCCAACATTATAAATGGAATGAACTAGATTATTAATATGTTTTGATTTTCTGATTGTCAGTTAAACTAAGAGAGGTGTATTTGGGTTCTACTAATACAGGTTCTAGAGGTTTCATAGCCCCCAGGCTACTTTTGGAAGTGTGCTATTGCAGTTGGCTGGCTGGCATCCATCTCCATTTGTTAGGACGTTCTGCTTATTGTGCCCAGCAGCAAAAACACGTGGAAGAGAACCCTCCTCCAGATGCCATGGAAGAAAGACCAATTAGTTGACCTTCTATTTCAGAAGGAATATCCCACAAATTCACTAAATGCTATACACAAAACATCTGCCACAGCTGTTTACCATCCTTTCTCCTACACATTTTTTTTTTTTTTTTGAGATTGGATCTCAGTCTGTTGCCCAGGCTGGAGTGTGATGGCGTGATCACAGCTCACTGTAGACTCCACCTTCCGAGGCTCAAGTTTTCCTCCCACCTCAGCCTCCTGTGTAGCTGGAACTACAGGTGCTTGCCAATATGCCCGGCTAATTTTGTAAATTTTTTGTAGAGAGGAGATCTTGCCATGTTGCCCAGGCTGACACAAGTTTAGTAATAGCGGCCAAGCCAAAATACTTTTTATTTGTTGGTTACTGCAGAGGAAGCAGTCTTGTGCCACCATTGCCCTTGGGCCCCGGTTGTGATATTGATTGACTCTACCATCTGATCTGCTTTTAGTAGAGAAGTTCAAGGACCCAGATGGATAATTATCTAGTAAGCTGGGGATGATGACATGGGTCCAGTGCCCCCATGCCTACGTCTAAGCAGTGTGCTTCTTCCTGTGGTCACTAACTCGTACTCTTCCTTCACCTACAGTGCCCCAGGTATTATGTTTTGGAGAACTACTCACTATCAAATGACTGATAGACAATATTATATTTAAGTAGGTTTATAAGCTTCCACAGTATTATTTTCAACTTTTAATGTTATAAAAAATAAAGGGATGATCTAAATATCCAACAATGGGAGAAATATAAAATAAGTTATGGTCCATCCGTTTGGTAAACTTTAAATACAGATATTATAAAATCATACTTTTGAGCCATGTTAAAGAATATGGGGAAGTACTTATGTCAAAGCATTTCATGAAGAAAGGAGAAAGCAATTTAATGAAAAATGATTTTTTCTAATATATATAGAAAAATGACTTTTTTTTTTTGAGATGGAGTCTCTTACCCAGGCTGCAGTGCAATGGTGCAGTCTTGGTTTACTGCAGCCTCTACCTCCCAGGTTCAAGTAATTCTCCTGCCTCAGCCTCCCAAGTAGCTGGGATTACAGGTGCCTGCCACAATGCCCAGATAATTTTCTGAATTTCTTAGTAGAGATGGGGTTTCATCGATTTGCCAGGCTGGTCTCAACCTCCTGACCTCAAGTCATCTGCCCACCTCGGCCTCCCAGAGTGCTGAGATTACAGGCATGAGCCATTGTGCCCAGCGAGAAAAACAATTAAAAGGAAAAAGAACCAAATTGTTAACAATAGTTATTACCTGTTGATAGTATTGGGCATTTATTTTTTCTTTTTGCTTTCATACATTTTCACATTTTTCTGTGATGAACAATGAAAGAGTTTAAAAGTAAAGGCATCTATCTGAGCTAATTATCCAGCTTGGTTGGAGGAGGTGTTATCTTATTTCCTCCCACCCCTCCTTAACTATCTCCCTCTGTTTCCTCTTGTTTGACTTCATGTATGTTTTGATGCATGTCAATAAGACTGTGACTGATTCAAACCTAACATGTTTGAGTTGTTAGCTAGAGAGTGGGTTTGTTATTTTCAGATGGAGCAGTTTGGACCCGTTGGTTTCCTAGACCCCATCTTATGCAAACATACAGGACTGACAGTGTGTATATGCATTGTTTGCTTCTGCAGGTACAATTGGGGGTTTGCACAGTTCCAGGTTGACTGAAACTTCCACAGGGATGCTTTAGCGATAAGATTGATCTCTCCTTTTTTTAAAAATTTTAGATTTAGGAGGTACCTTTGCATACATGTGCAGGTTTGTTACAAGGGTATATTACATGATGCTGAGCTTTGGCCTTCTATTGATCCCATCACCTGGGCAGTGAACATAGTACCCAGTAGGAAGTTTTTCAGCCCTTGACAGCCTCCCCTCCTTCCTCCATTTCAAGTCTCCAGTGTCTGTTGTTCCAGTCTTTCTGTCCGCATGTCCCCAAGTTGATCTACCCTTTTCTAAGTGTTGAAGACAAAATTTGAAAACCAGTACTATATTAACTAACCAGTAACTCTACTGTAATAGATTAATTGCAACACGTTCTTATAGCTATGTCTGTCTGAATACTGTGGGTGAGAACTGCTATTTTTGAGGAACCAATTCAGTGACTTTTGGGGGGAAGTTCATTACTGCTCTACCAGTTTCAAGGAGAATTCTTGTAGCTCGGTTTGGCTGTCCAATTAAGGGTTGATGGCCATTTCCTGTAAAAGGGTAGGCAGTCTGGCAGGTCTTTTCTCAAGCTCTCTCAGCTCCAGGGATATTCTTTAGTATGCTGTATACCATAGGTTAGCAAACAACAGCACACAGGCCAAATCTGGCCCACTGCCTATTGTTGTAAAAATAAATTTTACTGGAACACAGCCACTCTCATTCATTTACATCATGTCAGTGGCTGCTTTCGTGCTACAGTGGCAGAGTTGAATAGCTGCCTCGGAGACTATGGCCTGCAAAGCCGAAAATATGTACTGTCTGGCCCTTTACAGAAAAAGTGTGCTGACGTCCATTGTATAGTAGTCACTTGTTTTGAAGATCTTTCCCCCTTACTAGATGGTGAGCTTCAGGGGGCAGAAGCTGGTTCTCTTCATTTTTAATATCTCTCTATAAAAGTGGAATGCTTAGTGAATGTTGAGTCAATTAATGATATATGGGGACAAGGAACTGGGTGAATGGAAGAAGCTCTGCTCTACGAGGAAATACAGGAGAATGTGGAGCAGAAGGTGCTGGGTAGATTGCTAAGGTAAGGAAATGTGGAGGAAGATGAAGAACCTGAGATTAAATAGGTGTTGCCTATAGGGTCCTTTCCTAGAAAAGTTTGGGAACTTGCCAAAGCCAGTCTGGAGTCCTCTGTTGGTTTTAGAAATATATACCTTACAAATGACCCTGTTTTCTGCCAGCTTGATTTCTGAATTCTTTACCTAAGATATTTAAAAACAGACAATGTTGGAAGCCAAAAATGTTTGTGATTCCAACATGAAAAAAATTATAGTCAAAAACAGAAAAAGCAATGAGGAAGATCAGTTGTTTTAACTAAGTACTCAGTTAGAAAGGAATACTATAAATTACAATAAGGTTGGTTTAAAATTTTTCCTCAGTGGTCAATTAAAAATATTTTAAGTATGAAAAAATCATTAAAATTTTAGGTAAAGGGAAAATAGTCCCATACTCATGACACAAATTGCTGTTAAAATTTTGTTGTCCTCTCATAGGCTAATTTTATGTAGTTGTCATCATAGTGTTTTATAGTGTTTTTTACAATAGATTTTAATTTTTAGAAGTTTTAGGTTCACAGAAAAATTGAGTGGAAGATACAGAAATTTCTCATATACCTGCTGTTCCTGTCCCCACTCATGCCTAGTCTTCCCATCATCAACATTCCCCACCAGAGTGGCACATTTGTTTGACAGACGAACCTCCATTGACACGTCGTTATCACCTAGTCCATAGTTTGCATTAGAATTTATTATTCTCAGTGTTACACAGTCTTATGGGTTTGAATAAATTTATAATGGCATTATCTACCATTATAGCATACAGAGTAGTTTCACTGCCCTCCTTTGTGCTCCTTCTGTCCATCCCTCCCCTCCCCTGATCCCTGGAAAGTGCTGATCTTTTCACTATGTTTCCAACCATACGATGTCTAGAATATTGTATGGTTGGAATCATAGCCTTTTCTGATTGACTTCTTTCACTTAGTAATATGCATTTAAGATTCCTCCATGTCTTCTATAATTTCTTTCTTCCCTTTTTTTTTTTTTTTTTTTTTTTTTTTTGGAGATGGAGTCTTGTTCTGTCACCCAGGCTGGAGTGCAATGGCGTGATCTTGGCTCACTGCAACCTCCACCTCCCGGGTTCAAGCAATTCTCCTTCCTCAACCTCCCAGGTAGCTAGGACTGCAGGTGCACACCACCACACCCAGCTAACTTTTAAGTTTTTGGTAGAGACAGGGTTTCTCCATGTTGGCCAGGCTGGTCTCGAACTCCTGACCTCAGGTGATCTGGCTGACTCAGCTCCCAAAGTGCTGGGATTACAGTTGTGAACCACTATGCCTGGCCTATAATTTTTTTTTTCCCTGAGATGGAGTCTTGCTCTTGTGGCCCAGTCTGGAGTGCAATAGCATGATCTCAGCTCACTGCAACCTTCGCCTCCTGGGTTCAAGCAGTTCTCCTCTCTTAGCCTCCCGATTAGCTGGAATTACAGGTACCTGTCACCACACCTAGCTGATTTTTTATATTTTTAGTTGAGACAGGATTTTACCATGTTAACCAGGCTGGTCTTGAACTCCTGACCTCAGGTAATTCACCCACCCACCTTGGCCTCCCAAAGTGCTGAAATTACAGGCATGAGCCACCATGCCTGGCCATTTTTTTGTTTTATTTTTGAAGAGAGAGACAGGGATTCACTATGTTGCCCAGGCAGGTCTCGAACTGCTAAGCTCAGGTGAGCCCTAGCCTCCCAAAATGCTGGGATTACAGGCATGAGCCCCCATGCCCAGCCCACTCCGTGTCTTTTCATGGCTTGATAGCTCATTTCTTTTTAGTACTGAATAATATTCCATTGGCTGGATATATCATAAGCTTATCCATTCACCTGCTGAAGGACATCTTGGTTGCTTCCAAGTTTTGGCAATTATAAATAAAACTGTCAACATCCATGTGCAGGTTTTGGGGTGGACATAAGTTTTCAGCTTCTTTGGATAAATTCCAAGGAGCACAATTGCTGGATCATAGAGAAAGAGTATGTTTAGTTGTCAGAAACTGCCGCAGTGTCTTTGACAGTGGCTATACCATTTTGCATTCCCACCAGCAATGAATGGGAGTTCCTGTACATCCTGGCCAGCACTTTGTATTGTCAGTGTTCTGGATTTTGGCCACTGGAATAGGTAGATAGTGGTATTTCATTGTTTTGGTTTGCATTTCCTTGGTGACATATGATATGATGTTACATCTTTTTATAGGCTTGTTTATCATCTGTATATCTTTTTCGGTGAGATGTCAAAGTCTTTGGCCCACTTTTAAAATTTGTATAAATTCTTGGGGTACAAATGCAATTTCATTACATGCATAGATTGGTATTGGTCACGTCAGGGCTTTCAGGGTATCTAGCACCCAAATAACATACATTTTACCTATTAACCAACTTCTCATCATCTACCCTTTTTCCACCCCTTCACCTTTCCAAGTCTCCCTTGTCTATTATTCGACTCTCCATGTCCATGTGTACACATTTTTAGCACCCACTTATGAGTACAAACATGTAATAGTGGACTTTTTGTGTCTGGCTTGTTTCACTTGAGATAATGACCTCCAGTTCCACCCATGTTGCTGCAAAAGACATAATTTCATTCTTTTAGTGGCTGAACAGTACTCCATTGTGTATGTATACCACATTTTCTTTATCCAATCATCCATCAGTGGACACTTCGGTTGATTCCATATCTTTACTATTGTGACTGATGTGGCAATAAACATACAAGTGCAAGTATATTTTTGATATATAGAGTTTTTTTCCTTTGGGTAGCAACCATTAATAGGATTGCTGGATCGAATGGCAGTTTTACTTTTAGTTCTTTGAGAAATCTCCATACTGTTTTCCATAGAGGTTGTATTATTTTACGTTCTCACCAACAGTGTTTAAGGGTTTCCTTCTCTCCACATCCTTGCCAACATCTGTTATTTTTTGTCTTTTTTATATTAGTTCAGCCTATTTATTTATTTATTTATTTAGAGACGGAGTTTCGCTAATGTTGCCCAGGCTGGAGTGCAATGGCCCGATCTTGGCTCACCACACCCATGCCACCTCCTGGGTTCAAGCCATTCTCCTGCCTCAGCCTCCTGAGTAGCTGGGATTACAGGTGCCTGCCACTACGCCCAGCTAATTTTGTATTTTTAGTAATGATGGGATTTCTCCATGTTTGTCAGGCTGGTCTCAAACTCCCAACCACCTCAGCTTCCCAAAGTTCTGGGATTACAGGCATGAGCCACTGCGCTCAGCCAGTTTGGCTCGTTTTAAAATCAGAATGTTTGTTTTCTTATTGTTGAATTTTAAGAGTTCTTCATATATTTTCGATAATAGTCCTTTATCAGGTGCTTTTTGCAAATGTTATACCTTCTCTCAGTCTGAGGCTTTTTATTCTCTTGACCGTGTCTTTTACAGAGCAGAAATTTTTAATTTTAATGAGGTCCAGCTTCTCAGTTTTTTCTTTTATAGGTCATGACTTTAGAGTTGTTTGTGTAGTTTTTGTGTCCTGCTTTTTTAACTTAAATTATATAAAAATCACTTTCTCAATTTAATCTAACCCTCATTTTTACATAGGGTGGAATATTCCATGGCAGGTCTGTGTGATCATTCAGAAATCACTCTTGGCCAGACACAGTGGCTCACATCTGTAATCCTGGCATTTTGGGAGGCTGAGGTGGGTGGATTACTTGAGGTCAGGAGTTTGAGACTAGCCTGACCAACATGGTGAAACCCCATCTCTACTAAAAACACAAAATTAGCTGGGCATGGAGGTGCATGCCTGTAATTCCAGCTACTTGGGAAGCTGAGGCAGAAGAATCTCTTGAACCCAATTGGCGGAGGTTGCAGTGAGCCGAGATCTCGCTACAGCACTCCAGCCTGGGCAATGAGTCAAGCTCCGTCTCAAAAAAAAAAAAAAGACTCTCTAAGACCAGGCAGAGCGAGGTGCGACACCTGAACCCAAAGTTTCAAGGCCTGCAAACAGAGGAGTCAACAATTTTGTTTGCACTTACCACAAGGTTCCCTCTCAAAACACCCGAAAACCATGTAGTTTCTTGTTGGCAATTGTTACTTCTTTCAGTTTCCTAGTTAAGGGAGAAGACTTAACATTTAGAGTTAACAAAATTCAAAGTGATCCATAATCTGCAGAAATGTTGAAGGAAACATCTCTTCTCCCTTTTTTTCCATTCCACTGCATTTTTTGTTAAGACAGAAGATTCATCTTTTTTATTATAGTGTTTATTTTTAAAATGATATCCATCCTTTAGTTGAATTATATCTGGTGTAAAGAGTCATAAAGGAAATGTATCCAGAGTTCGCTTGGTAGAATACCATTTAATAAAACAGTCAATTTAGAATGATGATTTTTTTTGCAACTAGACGAGATCTAAGAGCTATCTAGACCAGCTTCCTGTTTCTTTGTTTTTGTTTTAATCAGTGAAGTAAATGAACCCTAGAAGATTACATGGCTAGTGCAGGTGACAAAGCTAGTGGTGGTGCCAAGACCAGAACTAAAGTTTCTTGACTTCTGGAACCTTTTCTGTTATACCATAGTATTTTTTAAATTTTTATCAACTTGCTTTCTTTTTCTGCTTTAAATTTTTTCGGGTTTTTGTTTTGAATGCAAATACAACTAACATTGGCCCAAGGATTGGCACTAGCATGAGATTTTAGGATCTCATGGCTAAAATCTGTAAATTGTCATGATGGTAAGTTCCTAGAAAGTTTGAAGCCATGGAAGAGAAAAGTATCTTTTCTTAAGGAGCATATGGCAATATGGGTAAAGTGTAATATATTGAATACTCACTGCTTTATTCTGCTCCAAATTCATTTGGTTATTTTAGGCACATCAAAATGATATGACTTATAACTTGGTTTGCTCCCACAATTAGTCCTGTTTATTTAGATACTTGAGACTCTGGAAGGAAATGGGGAAAACATTTCTCAGGATTTCAGAATTTATTTATTTATTTATTTATTTTCTATCAGAGAGGTACTATTGTGTGTTAAAAATTCTTGCTCTTGACAAAGATACATAAAGGTACTTACTTAACCTCTAAATAAAAGGGGCCAGCTGCCTATACCCTTGAAAGCTTACAGGATCTCTGAGACTTCAACTCTGGTTAGGGCTAGCTTGGGTATTGGTCTGGTCCAGACAGTCTAGAGCTCCCCAGCATGAGGATTGTTTTTTTATGTCTAGAGTAGGCTTAACTTGGCAGCAGCAGATCTAAGAGACCTGAACTAGAAGACTTGAGGCCAGGGATGTAACCATCAACTTCCCCTGCAGAGAGGCCATCATTAACCTTGTTCCTCTTTCTGCTTGGAAGGCCTGGAGTCCTGGGATGTGCACATTGTCATGATGGTAAGTTCCTAGAAAGTTTGAAGCCACGGAAGAGAAAAGTGTCTTATCTTAAGGAGAATATGGCAATATGGGTAAAGTGTAATATATTGAATACTCAACTGTTGTATTCTGCTCCAAATTCATTTGGTTATTTTAGGCACATCAAAATGATATTACTTATAACTTGGTTTGTTCCCACAGTTAGTCCTGTTTATTTAGATACTTGAGACTCTGGAAGGAAATGGGGAAAACATTTCTCAGGATTTTTTCGGGAATTTCCAAGCAATTGGTAGAATTGCTTCAGAGAAGAAGGAAGCATAGAGAAGCACTTTGAGAGATTTTAATTCATTTGCTTACACTGAGAAGTGTTTTGTTTTTGAGACAGAGTCTCACTCTGTAACTCAGGCTGGAGTACAGTGGTGGGACCTTGGCTCACTGTAACCTCTGCCTCCCGGGTTCAAGCAATTCTCCTGCCTCAGCCTCCTGAGTAGTTGGGATTACAGGTGGCACCACCACGCCCGACTAATTTTTGTATTTTTTTAGTAGAGACGGGGTTTCACCATGTTGGTCAGGCTGGTCTCAAACTCCTGACCTCAGGTGATTCACCTGCCTCGGGTTCCCAAAGTGCTGGGATTGCAGGTGTGAACCACCATGTCCGGCTGAGAAGTGTTTAATTTACACTCATATCCAAGTCTAATTTAAATTAACAAATCTGAGTCTTAGAAAAATAGCTTTAGAGTATATAAATAGATAACAATGTAATCTATAAATAAGCTATATAATGTTCTAGTCATCAGTGAGTATGATTAGTATTATGTTTTAGTTGTCTGTAATATGAGTTTTTGTGACTCATTCCTTTCTAGTTTAAGTTGGTGAGTGAGCAAAGTGTCATTGCCCTGCATTGTACTTTCTAACCCACTTAAACCTTGTATTTATGTTTTATGATTTTAAAACATAAATCTGCCCCTTTTTCCTTGAACAGATGGGGATAGCAAATGTTAAAAACGATCAGCTTTCCCCTTTGACTGGACTTTGCTGATGGCACGCATTACCCAAATGTGGCTTGACTAGCAATTCACAGACTTTCATACTTATGAATTTAACCTTGTCTTTCCAGCTACCAGCATTTAAGACTGCTGTGTAACCTCGGACTTTTTTTTCTTCTTATTCTTTCTTTGTTTTGAGACGGAGTCTCACTCTGTTGCCCAGGCTGGAGTGCATTGGCACGATCTTGGCTCACTACAACCTCTACCTCCCAGGTTCAAGTGATTCTTCTGCCTCAGCCTCCCAAGCAGCTGGGACTACAGGCATGTGCCACCATGCCTGGCTAATCTTTGTATTTTTAGTAGAGATGGGGTTTCTGTGTTGACCAGACTGGTCTCCAACTCCTGACCTTGTGATCTGCCCATCTCGGCCTCCCAAAGTGCTAGGATTACAGGCTTAATTTATCACCATGCCCGGCAACTTCTTTTATAGGACTTGTTGGTGTGTTTGGTCTTGCAGGGGAAAAAAACTAAAGATGTTTTACAGCACTTATTTTTTGTTTCTCCACATTATAAGATGTCCACACCCAATTTAAAATTATACATTAGTTGAAAAGAAAGGACTATATTTTTAGATACTAACTTTTCATAATCAGTGGATTCAATATGATTTGGTGTGAATTACAGTAACTGT